CACAGTCCTCTAGATGGCAAAGCTCACAGCCTTTCCAGTGGTCCAGATCAGCCCCCTCTGAAATAGCCAGATGGCCTTTCCCAGCGTTTGGCTGATGGGCGGAGGTTGGAGTGAGGCTGGGTCTCAGGCAGGGGTATTTAGAGCTGTCTCCCTCACTGAGCATAGGCTCTCTTTCTGCCCCTGTAGGAGGTGTTTCGGCAGCACTGGGGACTGCAGTTCCTGGCTCTGGTGGAGGAGGTGCTACCCCGGCACGGTAGCGGCCACCACGGGGACTGGCACATCTCCCTGAGCAAGCCCAGTGAGAAGGAGCAGCACCTTCTAATGACCTTGGTGGGCGAGCAGGGTGAGCGGGGGGAGGGGCACCCACAAGAGGGGGGGGCGTTGGTATGTTTGGGGAGAGGGTCCAAGAAGGCAGTGGGGGGGCAGGCCAAACCCAGCAGAGGTTTCCCAAGGCCACGGGAGCTCCCCCGCAGAGCTGTGAGAAAGTGCAGCCAGGGCTTTTGGACGTGGGGTGAGCTTTTAGGATAGCAGGATGAGGTGCTGCTTGAGCCCCTAGTTTAGGATCCAGGAGTACCAACAAGCTTGAAGGCAGGAGGAGGAGGAAGGTGGGAACACTGGGAATAGGAAGGGGAAGAGTGTGGTTTCAGTGCAGGTGCCAGACAGCGGCACTGTATACTTTGTGGCGGGCTGAGAAGGAATGTGTTCAGAATGCAGACTTAAGGAGCTGTGGAAGTGACCGCCTGGTATCACACCTGTTACTTAGTAGGCACTCACTGAACCTTCTTAATGAGTCAATCAGTGGGCAGCAAGCAGAGGAGAGAGTGGTTGTGCATATACCAGGGAGCCAGGGAGTGAGGCTCTAGAAACTCAGGCCAGAGGCTGTCCAAGGGGACCAGGAGTCCAAAGGGGGAGCGCCCCAGTGGCCAAGGCTGGGCTGATGATGCTGTCTCCCCCCAGGGGTGATGCCCACTCAAGATGTCCTTTCTATGCTGGGTGATATCCGCAGGAGTCTGGTGGAGGTAAGAGGGCAGGGACAAGTTCCCGTCCTGTTCCTTAAAGCTCTGGCAGCCGGGCTACCATCCCTGAGGGCAGAAGGGTGGCCTGCACCATGTGGTGCAAGGAGCAAAACACAAACTCTTACTCTGTAGTTCTTCCTTTCAGGTCTCCTAAGACACCATCCCCATGGGAGAGACAGAGTATATGAGCACTTAGCTATCAACTGCACTGTGCATGGGCCAGCCAGGGACTGCCAGCTGGGAGTTTTCTGGGGAGATAGTGGGAGAAACACTACGAGTATGTCTGGCCAAGGGACTGTTCAGAAGCCTGATGGGTGGGAGCACGTGCTGTGGCTCTAGAACCACAGGAGAAAGCACAAGAGGCCTGGGCATTTCTTCGGAGACCATGAGAGTCTGCAGTGCTTGGCCAGCTGGGGGTGAGGGGCGGGGCTCAGGACACAGCAGACAGGCCTGTCTTCTTGAGATTCACCCCTGACCCAGCCTCTGGCCCGTCCTGGAGACTGTGGCTGAGGAGACAGGCTGGCCACCTGTGCATGGTGGAGCAGAGCCATGACTGATAGGAGGGGCAGGTCCCCATTGTTCCTCCTGTTCCTCATTCACTTCCCTTCCCAGGGACAGTCACCATCTCTAACAAACCCCCTTCCACTCACTGTGAAATCCAGTCATCTGTCATCAGTCCTCCTTTTTTTTTTTTAAAAAAAAATATATTTTTATTGATTTCAGAGAGGAAGGGAGAGGGAGAGAGAGAGATAAAAACATCAATGGTGAGAATCATAGAAACATCAATAATGAGAGAATCACTGATCAGCTGCCTCCTGCACACCCCCTACTGGGGATTGAGCCGGCAACCCAACCTGAGCATGTACCCTTCACTGGAATTGAACCTGGGACCCTTCAGTCCACAGGCTGACACTCTGTCCACTGAGCCAAACTAGCTAGGGCCAGTCTTCCTTCATATTGAGGGCTGTGTAATATTTGACAGCAAAGATGAACTGTGCATGACTGTGGTTCTGTCTCTTCAGTACACTCAGGGCGAAGAGGTGGATTCTGTGGGGTTTCTGTTTTTTTGTGTTTTTTTGTTGTTGTTGTTTTTTTTATCAGCAAAGCGTATTGAATCATTACTGAGTGCCAGACGGTGCTCGGTTTCCTCACCACCGCCCCAGGGCTTGTGAGCACAAATAAGGCACCCTACTGAGTACCCTCGGTGCTCGGTGCTCCATTTAAGGTTAGAGTGGGAGCCCAGGGAAGGCGGTGACTCACCTGAGATTGCACAGCTAGTAGTAGAAGAGCCAGGCTTTGGACTAGGCCTGAATAACTCAAGACGCTGGTCTTCCGCCACAATGCAGTGTCTATACTAAGGGCTGTTCTGGTTGTGAAAGTCTTGGTTTGTGAACCCTGAGAACTGGTGGGGAACAGGCTGCCCTTGATCTTTTTTTATAGACTCTCCTGACTCTTTTCCCAGTCCCTGGGTGTTCTGGCTTTAAAGGACACTTCATGCTGACTGACATGGCCAAAGGCATGCCGGGCATTTGGAAGTATATTAGTGGGCAAATTTAGCAAGTTCTAGCAAGAAATATGGACCCTTAATAATTTCAGTCAATAGAGGAAGGTAGTGGAAATATATAGGCGATTCACAGAAACCAAAGGAGAGCTGAATAACTGGCATTTGAAAGGGGAGTGCAAGGCAAAAAGGGGGCTCCCAGCTCTGCGTTGGGAGCCAGGAAAGAGCACCTATCTTTTGAGGAGGGCACCTCACCTTTGCTCCCTTTCTGCCTGGCTGCTGATTTGTGGAGAGAACATCTGCTGGGCCAGGTCAGGGCACAGCAGCCTCTGGACCAGGGAAAGCAGGCCCACCTAAGACAACCTGCAGTGTGGGAGTAGGGTTGGGCAGCTAGATACCATTGGTGACCACTCCAGTGGGAAAGGGGAGGGAGCTGGGAGGCTGGGGTGGCCCCTGTGGGCTGTCCCAGTATCCCCTGCACTGTCTCTGGCCCATAATGACCAGGATAATATCAGAATACCCAGGGGCCTAATTCAATGGTGTCGTGTGGTGGAGGATGTGTGGCAAGGGGATCACAGCTGCCCTTGTCTGTTTTCTTCCTTTTTAAACTGGTGGGACAGGTGTGGAGACTCAATCTAGTTTGGATCATGACTGGCAGCATGAGCGTGGGCAGCCTCAGTCAGGGGCGGGGAGTGGGGGGTAGAGTCACACCTGATGGATTTTGAGCCACACTTCTTTCCCACAGGGTCAGGGTCAGGCAGTACCATGCTGGGGGTGTAGGGGGAGCATGCAATAGAAATGTAGGGTAGAGAGGCTTGGAGCTGCCCCCAGGTGAACAGGGTGGACATAGGGCAGAGAGAGTCCCTCATGAACACTGATCAGGCCCCTCAGGGAGCTTCAGGAGCCAGGAGTGTGCCAGCTTCTCAAAGCCTGTCCCTGTTCCTAAGCCCCAGCCCTATGGGGGTGGCAGCCATGGCACCCAGGGCCTCAGCTGAGGAGCCTGGTCCCTCCCACCCCCAGATTGGCATCCAGAACTACTCCACAACCAGCAGCTGCCAGGCCCGGGCCAGCCAGGTGCGCAGTGACTACGGGACGCTCTTTGTGGTGCTGGTGGTCATCGGTGCCATCTGCGTGATCATCATCGTGCTGGGCCTGCTCTACAATTGCTGGCAGCGCCGGCTGCCCAAGCTCAAACATGTGGTGAGTGTGGGGGCAGGTGGGGCAGAGGTCGTGGGCTGGGGGCAGTGCTGGTGGAGATGGGAGTGCCCCGCAAGCTGTCATCTGCAGACTCTGTCATCTCAGGTGGGCTGGCAGTAATGGCCTGGGTTGGGGTACTGAAGGTGAGGCCACTCGTCCAGAGCCTGCATCTCAGTGGACCTTCTGTGCAGGGCACCAGCCCCACCTGCAGGAGCCCTCCATGGCACCAGCCCCTCCTGGGGCAGGGTGGCCCTGCAGGCCTGAGCTCATTTGGATGTCTCCCTAGAAGCCCTGGGTCAGCAGAGCACAGGGGTCCAGGAAAGACTCCTCACAAAGGAGAGGGCAGGGCAAGACGCCCTTTCCCAGGAGTCCCTTGGAGTCTATCAGGAGGCTGTTGAGAGGGATCAGCTGGTGTTAGTCAAAGGATCAGAAGAATTATTTTAAGAAAGGATTTGGGCTGTGGGAACAGAGCAGAAGAGAGCAGGAGGGAAGTGGCATCTGCGGAAGGTCCCTGGGGTTCCCTGTGTCGGGTCTTACAGACTAGGGAAGGAGCAATGAAGTGACTTGTTCAAGGTCACAGGTCAGGTCAACGGGGCACGTTGTGCAGCTGGTGGGTTGGGCTGGGGCCCGGGCCGAGGCCCTCGCCCAGCAGCCTGGTCCCTGCCCGCAGTCGCACGGCGAGGAGCTGCGCTTCGTAGAGAACGGCTGCCACGACAACCCCACGCTGGACGTGGCCAGCGACAGCCAGTCGGAGATGCAGGAGAAGCAGCCCAGCCTGAACGGCGGCGGGGCCGTCAACGGCCCTGGGGGCTGGAGCGCGCTCATGGGGGGCAAGCGGGACCCCGAAGACTCGGACGTGTTTGAGGAGGACACGCACCTGTGAGGCGGACGCCGGCGCAAGCCCGGGACAAGCAAGGCGGACCCAGGGCGTAGTCACGCCCCTTCCTTCCCCGGCCTCGGCACCCTCCGCAGCCCGGTTCCCGGTGCCGGCTCCTCCCACTCCCCACCCGAAACGATAATGGCACAGCCTTCCCCACCCCAACCCACGTCCCGAGGGGCGGGTCCCGGGACCCCCATTAAAACTTCCCGGAGCTCACGCCGGGCCCAACCCTTCCGCCTGCCTGACTTGATTTATGCTGCGAGGCGGGCGCTGGTGGGGCGGGGCGAGCGGGAGGAGGGGCGGGGCTGGTGGGGCGGGGGCGGGGCGTGGCGAGCGGGAGGGAGGGGCGTGGCGAGCGGGAGGGAGGGGCGTGGCGAGCGGGAGGGAGGGGCGTGGCGAGCGGGGCGTGGCGGGGCCGGCGCCTGTTTACGTCCGGCTCCGGAGCGTCAGTGCGTCCGCCGCGTCTGCGCCATGGATATCAGCGACCTCTTCACCAGCTGCAGGAAGGGAGACGTGGGTCGAGTGCGGTGAGGATCCCGCAGCCCCGGGAGAGTGCGGCGCCCTCAGAGCGCCTCCAGCCTTGGGTGTGCAGGGGACGGCCGCGGGACAGGCGGGCGCCTTGGCCTCAGCACCCGATCCCCCCCAAAGCCGCCCCCTCACAGGCCACGGAGGGACCACGGCAGCCTCCCCAGCTGGGGTGCCCGGGGGCGGGTCCCCGAGGAGGTGCTGGAGAAGACCGCCACGGAAGGCCGGGAGGAGAAGTGGGCGGAGAGGAAGTTCACCCTCCGAGTGCTGGGGGCAGACTGGGGGCAGGTTTGGGACTCCCGATGTGGTCCTCTCATGCCTCTGGACCTGGCGTTGGGAACATGTGGGGACCAGAATCGGCCTCTGGTCACCGGGGATTCAGAAATTCATAAATGTAGCTAAAGCAAATATGGCGCTGAAATCGCCATCTCAATGGTTCTGTCGAAGGGAGACAGTGCCCTATTGAGGGTGGGTAACCTGTCTTCCTTGGCCCTTCCTTCCTCATTACTTATGCCCACAGCTTCCCTTGACCCCTCCCTCACATCGGTGCCCCCTAGGAGTTAGTTGGTAACTCCCAACGCTAAACGCTGCTCCGCACTCCTTCGTGCAACCTGGATGCCCCCCAAGGCGGCCCTGCTCAGTGATGGCTCCACCACCATCCATGATGACCCCCTTACCTGGACGGACATTCCATCAGCTACCTCCTCCTGACTTCCGCCTTCTAGAATCTGTCTACTTCTTTCCATGCTTCCATGCCACCAGAATGCCCGCAGGCATCTTCCTCTTTGGACCCAAGCTGTCAGAGCGTCCTGTCGAAGCAGAGCAGGGGCCACCTCCTCACTCCCAAATGCCTGCAGGCCAGTTTCAGCCTCTTCAGCTCAGGGTCTGCCTTTTGTGTTCCCACCTCTACATCCTGCCTCACTGGCCCTTTTGCTAGGAATGTCTTTCCTGCTCTGGTCTGCCTGTCACCTGCCCTCACCTGGGGGAGACTTCCTTCAGCCAAAAAGAATGTCTTCCCTCCTTCCCCTTACACAGGTGTCTTCTCTCCCAGACTATGAGCCTGCCCTGACCCAGGCTCTGACCTCCCCTTTCCCTGCCCAGGTACCTGCTGGAGCAGCGAGACGTGGATGTGAATGTATGGGACAAGTGGGATAGTACCCCCTTGTGAGTGCTAGGGGGTGGGTGGTCAGGGTGGGTGGGGCAGCCCCTTCCATCCTGACAGCTGCCTCCCAGTACTCCTTCCTTCTCCCCCTCAGGTACTATGCCTGTCTATGTGGGCATGAAGAACTGGTACTCTACCTTCTGGCCAATGGTGAGGGAAGGGGACAGGAATACCATCCACCAGTGTGTGTGTGTGTGTGTGTGTGTGTGTGTGTGTGTGTGTACATGTGTTCAAGGGCTCTAGAGCATGTGTACACATTTGCAAACACCCTGAAGTCCCCTCCCTCACCCCTACACCCAGTTAGCAAGTACTGTTAGCTCTACTTTCAGGACCTGTTCTCTCCTCTGTCCACTTTCCATCTCCATTGCTCCTGCCCAACCCAGCTACAGCATCTCTCCCTGGACCATCTCTCCCTGGATGCAGTGCCAGCCTCATCACTGGTCTTATTGCTGCCCCTTCTGCCCCACCTACAGTCTGTTTTCTATGTTGTAGCCAAGTGGAGCTCAACAAATGTGATGAGCTTATTAAAATCCTCTAATGGCTCCCACTGTATTTAGCATAGAACTAGAATACCTTGCTTTGCCTGGGAGCTGCTACATGGCCTGCTCTTCCTTCTCTGGCCTCCTCTTTGGCTCTCCCAAGTGCTCACTGTGCCAACCACACCGGTCTTCTCCTTGGTGCTCCAGCGCTCCAAGCTTGCTTCTGCCTCAGGGCCTTTACACGTGCTAGTCCTCCTGTTTAGAATGCCCTTTCCCAGATCTTTGCATGGCCAACTCTCTCACTTGATTCAGGTCTCTGTACATTGTCACCGCCACAGTGCCCTCTCTGGCAGCTGCCATCACAGTCACCCTTCATCTTGCTTTGTTTTTCTTCATAGCACCTGATATCATTTGTTAATCTGTTTATTGTCCTTCTGCCTCACTGGAGTTGTCACTTCAGTGAGGACAGGAACCTGTCTTTTAATGGTAGTGTCTCCAGTGCATAGAACAGGGCCAGTCTCTGAGCCTATTCTGTTTTGTGTAGTTTGTGGTATGTGTTAGTGAATATGTGTATGTGAGTGTACAGGACTTTGCCTGGTTGCCTGAGCCCTGGGGTCAGAGTGGGCCCAGGGTCATTTAGGAAGGAGTCTCTAGGGCTATGGGCCCTACATGTAGGGAGAAGTGGAGGAGGAGGATGAAGATTAGGATTTCCCCAGGCCCCTCTTCAGCTGCAGCATGCCACCCATGGCCCTGCTAACTGATGAGCTCTGCTGCCCTTAGGAGCCCGCTGTGAGGCCAACACCTTCCACGGTGAACGCTGCTTCTATGGGGCTGCAAGTGATACCATCCGCCGGGCCCTGCTTGATTATAAGCAAGTGACACCCTCCTCCAGGAGGCGGGACTACTATGATGAATTCCTGCAACGGTGAGATGGAGCGTGGGGCATCTGATGGCCTTTGCCCAGTGGGTCTGTGATGGGTGTGGCCTGTAGGGGGCTGAGAGCCTTCCTACAGGATGATACGAGGGACTGGAATGGTGAGACGGAGGAGAGGCACTCTCCTGAGCCCTCTTCCACCTGTTCTCTACCCCCCCCCGCCCGCCCCCCCCGCCCAGGCTTCTGGATCAAGGCATCCACAGTGATGTGCTCTTTGTGGTGCACGGGAAGCCCTTCCGGGCCCATCGCTGCATTCTGGGTGCACGTAGCAGCTACTTTGCCAACATGCTGGATACCAAGTGGAAGGGCAAGAGCATCGTGGTCCTCAGACATCCACTGGTGCGTCCCTCTCTGGGCGGGAGAGCAGAGGGACAGCGGGGGGCTTGTGCTGGACCAGGCTTCTGACCTTCCTTCCCGGCTCTCTGCCTGCAGATCAACGCTGTGGCCTTTGGGGCCCTGCTGCAGTACCTGTACACAGGTGACACCCCAGGCCTGGGTCGGGCGGGCAGGGAGAGGGCTGCGTTTCTGTCCAGCGGCAGGTCCAGCTGTAGCCTTGGGCTGACCTTCTACCACCTGGTGCTTTGTCCCCTGCATTGCAAGGCAGTTCCAGTTGCCTCCTGGGTTGGGTTGGGAGACAATGAGCTGGGCTCTGCTAAGTAAGAGCTTATTTCACCCAAAAACTGAGCCTCCCTTTATCTGTTCTGGGGTCTGTAGGACATAGACAGTGGCTCTTGTGGGGAAATTAAGGCAGCATGTAGGCCCAGAAGTCTCAGCAGAGGGACCACCTATGAAACGCTGTGTGCCTGGGCACTGCTAACGGCCGCCCTCAGGCTCTGAGCCTCCCCACGCTGCACCCAGGTGGCCTGGATGTCGGTGTGGAACACATCAGTGACTGTGAGCGCCTGGCCAAGCAGTGCCAGCTATTGGATCTGCTCAATGACCTGGAGGCCAAGTGCAAGGAAGTGTCTGAGTTTGGTACGTCCAGACTTTGGGGTCCAGGGCTTTGGGCAGGAACTGGCAGGGCCAACCTGGCTTCCTGAAGCTGCACTATCTCTGCAGTGGCGTCCAAGCCAGGCACTCATGTGAAGGTGCTGAGCATGAGGCCCCCCGCAGAGGACCCCCGGCTCCGGGAGGACCTGGCCTTATTGGCTGACTGTGCCCTGCCCCCTGAGCTCCGAGTAAGCACACTGGGGCCTGGGACTGGGCCTGGTGGGCAGGTGACTTACCTGGGGACAGCTGTGGTAGGCAAGCCCCACATTGGGGTTCAGTTCCTTATGTGGCCTTGAGCCATTCATTTCCCTTTTCTGAGCCTAGTTATTTACTTTTGTTGTTTGTCTTGTATTTAAATCTGCAAATGAGGTTGCAGTTCACCCCCCTTCACCCCTCCAGGATCAAGCTAGAGTGGGCTCTTGGCCGAGGCCAGCCACTCTGCCTTCTCTCACCTACATTATCTAATGGTGTCTCCTCTCCCATCCCCCAGGGTGATCTTGGGGAGTTGCCTTTCCCTTTCCCTGATGGCTTCAACAGCTGTCCTGATGTTTGCTTCCAAGTGGAGGGTTGCAGCTTCCTCTGCCACAAGGTGCTGTCCACCCCACAGCTCCCTAAACCCCTGCCTTAAGCCCTAGGCCAGCTTCTGTGGGCACAGCCCAGGCCCTGGCCTTTCCTAAGCCCAGCCTCCCCCAGGCCTTCTTCTGTGGCCGCAGCGACTACTTCCGGGCCCTGCTGGATGACCACTTCCGAGAGAATGAAGGGCTAGAGGCCTCTGGTGGCCTCCCAGCCATCACCCTGCATGGCCTCACGCCCCACGTCTTCACCCATGTGCTCTACTACATATACACCAACCACACCGAGGTGCGGACTGGGGTGGGCTGTGTGCACTGTGCCAGGGGCGAGGGGTGGGGGGCACAATGGTCAGGACAGGTACACAGCCCATGTCACTGTGGGGCTTCAAGGGTCTGCCCAGGTCCTCACTGGCTCTGAGGGACAGGTTTCCCATGAGGCTGGAGAGCGAGTGTGGGGCCCACTTAGATTTTTCTTTCAGGCAGAGGCGTCCTCATTAGATCCACGACAGGAATGATTGACAAGAATTATGTCATGGACACTTGACACTTGGGGATGTAGTGTCAGCCACGTAGGGCCCCCAACTTCTTCAGCCAGAGGACAGTGACACTGGGTTCCCACAACAGTGGGAAGCCCTGAGCCCCTGCCTTTAGTTTGCTGCAGACCCCTAAGGTTCTCTGCCTCCCTGTGTCTTCACCTGCCCCAAGGCCCCCCCTAACATAGGGTGACATGGCAGCAACAGATAGACCAGCATACTCTCTGGCAGGGTGTCCTCTGGCAGGGTATGTGCGCGCACACGCGAAGGTTACTGTAATAAAGAGGCCCCCAAATATGGTAGCTTACAGAAGAGAAGCTTCTTCCTCCTTCAGGTGGAGGTGAGTTCCCTCTGGCAGGCCAGTCCATCTTGGGCTGGAGTCCACATACAGCTCATTTCATTAATACATTTTTACTGGGACACAGCCATACCCATTCATTTCTCTACTGTCTGGTGGCTTTGCACAATGGCAAAGCCGAGTGGTTGTAACAGAGACCCTGTGGCACAGTATTTACCACCTAGCCCTTTAGAGAACCCCTCCTACCTCTTTATTTCATTTCTCCTGCGGTATAGTTCAGCTCTCTGGCCCCTGCCACCTAGCATCCACCTTGGCCCATCCTGACCCTAGAAAGCTTTGCCACCCAGAGGGCAACTTCTTAACGACTCAGAGCAAGGACTTGGGCTCCAAACCTGGTTTTACTCTGGGTTAGCCTCACCCCTACCCCAGAGCTGGGTGATCTTGGGCTAGTTACTCAACTGTTTTGTGCCTCAGTTCCCCCTCTAGAAAAGGGTGATACTGATAGTTATTAGCTCCTAAGCTCTTGTGCAAATGAACGTGTATGTTGCAAGTACAGTGCCTGGCACGAGTAAGCACCGTGCACATGGCCTGTGAGGGGCTTAGCAGAGGTCCTGTTTGCTCCGTTTCCAGCCTGCTCCCTGTGGCCATCCACAGTCTGGGTGGAGCACATGGTCTCTCCCAGCACAGGGTACAGCCTCTATGGGTGGGAAGGAGCTGATAAATAGTTACTCCCCCAACTTTTTAGTAGGGTCCTTGCCTCAGTTTTTACAGAAGCAACTTCTGTCACTTTTCTGGCAACCTTTTAAGGCAGACATGATTGTGTCTGCATCTCGCAGAGGATCTGAAGCACAGAGGTGAAGTGATTTGCGCAAGGTCCCACAGCTAGAATTTCCAAGCTCAGGTCTGTGTGATTCAGAGCCCAGGCTTTGCCCTGCCTGAGCCATGGGAACCCCAGACTCTGTGTCCCTTCTGGTCCCATGGATGCCTGCAGGGGTCTGGGTCAGGTACCTGGCAAGGGGAGGAAGCTCCTGCTCTGCCTGAAGCCTCCACCTTCTGGCCAGCAGGTCCCAGCCCTGCTGCCAGCCCCTGAGAGGCCTTGCTGACCTTAGGGTGCACCCTCCCTCATCCCTTTTTTCACTGCAGGTGCCCCCGGAGGTGGCCTATGATGTGCTGAGCATGGCCGACATGTACCTGTTGCCGGGCCTGAAACGACTGTGTGGCCGCAGTCTGGCCCAGCTGCTGGATGAGGACAGTGTGGTGGGCCTGTGGCGTGTGGCCAAGCTGTTCCGCCTGGCACGCCTCGAGGACCAGTGCACCGAGTACATGGCCAAGGTTATCGAGAAGGTGGGCCGGTGGGAGCTTCAGTGGGTGGGGGCAGGCTGTGATGGATGGCAAGCAGCAGTGTGCCCTGAGTGTGCCTGTTCACAGCTGGTGGAGCAGGAGGACTTCTCGGAGGCCGTGAGGGAGGAGGCGGCGGCTGTGAGAGGCCGGCAGGAGCAGGACTCCATCCCTCTGGTAGATGACATCCGCTTCCACATCACCAGCGTGGTGCAGACCTACAGCAACATTAAGGAGATGGAGCGGCGGCTACATGCACTTGAGGACCTGCTGGTGTCCATTGGCCTGGACTGCTGACTGACACTGGGCCACGGGCTCCCTGTGGACTACGCATGTGGTTTGGTCGACCGCGTGCTCCGTTGTGTGCTCCTTGCGCCCTCCAGGGCATCGTGGTGTGTGGAAGAGACTCATTGAGGCTCCCTACCCTGGTGTGCTTGGAGGCCCCAAGGAGGGTTACCTAGGATGAGCTTCCTCCCCCGTGCACAAACCAGCCCCTCAGCCCTGGGCTGGGCACCACTCAGGGAAACCTGGGGTGGGATCTCTTAGCCTCCTTCCCCAGGTCCCCCTCCCCTCCACTCTGGCTCTCCCTGGCTGCTTGCTTCCTAAAACCACGCCACCTTCTCACAGGCACAGAGTTGGCCAGGAGGGAGCAGCAGAGGCTGTGTGGCAATAAAGCTTGAATTCACTGGGAACTTGAGCCCCGGGAAGATGGTGAGATGGGGTGTAGGGGCAGTTTCTGGAGTTGGGGACCCTCATGGAGAGGTTTAGGTGCCCAGCAAGGGCTACTCAGGGATTAGGGGTTGCCTGGGTCTATGGGTCTTGAGTAGGCAACCCCTGTTTGTGGGGGCCCTGAAATCTCGCAGCCAAGCTCCTCATCACACCCCTGCCCCGGAGCAGGACTCCCCTCAGGGCACAGCTTCCCTCTGGGCTCCTCTTGGTGAAGTCACACTGACCAACTGCCTGGCCTGGGGGCCCTGGAGGATGTTGAGTGGGATAGGGCTGACTGAGGACACAGGCTGCTTCCCCCTCAGGCCAAGGGAGGATTGGCTTCTGAGCCATAGCATTTCTAGCACTCATTCACTGAGCACTTACTCTCTCAGGAAGGCTGTTCATATGGCTGAAGTGTCTGGTCATCCTGCCCATGATCCCAGGCACCGGGACAGGCTGGGCCACAGGCAGGACCGAGGAGAGGCCTGGCAGCAGCTGGCTCTGCAATCCCAGGATGCAGGGCTCGGAGAAGTGGGTGCAGAGAAGTGAAAGGGGGAGGAAGCCCTCTGACTCTCCCACTCCCCACCCCACTGGCCACTGGCCGTGTTGGGCCTCGTTCCAAGAGGGGGACTGTACCTCCACTTCCCCTCAGCCCCAGGCCAGCCTCCTCCTGGACGTTATTAGGGAGGTCAGAGGTGGCTTTCTCAGGATGCCCTTCAGGCTTTCAGACCCCTAGAAGCCCCTATCTGGTCCCTGGGGCCCAGGTGTTGTGTAGGTAACTAGATATTAAACGAAGAAAGCAAAGGGAATCAGACATTGTTTCACCAGGAAGTTACAGCTTCACACACTCCCAGGGAACCACTGGTCCTTTCCTGCCAATCACTGGGGCAAGGGACAGAACAATGAAGGGGGAGGTACACAGTGCGGAGTAGGAGTAAATTGGCTCAGGGAGGTGCTTCTATGAGGCATGCGCATAGAAGCCAAATGACCACAGAGGACTGTCAGTCAAGCCTGGGGGAAGAATGGATTGGTTGGGGTGATCCCATCAGAAGCTCTGGAAGCTTGGAAATTGATTGGTTACTTTGAATACACGGGTCCTTCCCAAACCCAGGTAATCTAATCCCAGGAAACAAAGCCAGTCCCTCCCTTCCTCCCTCCCTCCCTCCCTCCCTCGCAATAGCACACGCTCACCCTTTCCTTCACTTGTTCTCACTCCATAGCCATGTGGCCTTCGCAGTCCCATGGCCATTCTCTAAACACAGGCTCCAGGCAGAGCCTGGGTACAGCAGCACAGCTAGGATTGCAGCCAGGAACCCGAACCAAGCTAGCTGGGTGGTGAGAAACTGTGGACTGGACTCAGCTTTAACGTGGCCCAGGGTCTCTGGACGCTGGGTCTATTTCTGGCCCTGATGTCCCATGGCAGGAGGGACAGCGATGGGACATGGGGAACTGCCTTCTACTTCCACCCAAATGAATCTTACCACCAGACCTCATCCTCCCTTGTGGGTCTCCCAAAATGATTTTTTTCTCAACACCGCAAGGACCCACGTCCATCGTCCATCAGCAACAGAGCTGCACCCCAAGGCCTCTCGCGTCTGCCTTGGGAACAGCAGGCTGAAACCCGAGTGGTGCCCGGAGCCCGGGGGAGAGTCAGCTCACTGTTCTCCCACCGGCTGGATGCTGGGCATGGTGGCCCTCCCTGCAGTGGTTTCATGTCACTTCACACCTTGTTACTCTTGTTGTTTTCCAGAACTTGGGGGAACCTTTTCCCTTCCCTCTCCAGTGCGTTTCATCTGTGTTGGTCCAGTAGGGGAAGCTGTGAGGGCTGAATGACAGGATGAGCGATCAGTTGAACAAGGTAGCAGGTAGGCTGGGAGGAGTGGTGAGGAGGGGGAGCTCTCCAAGCTGATAGGGGTGGTCCTGCTGGTGGAGGGCAGGGTTTATGCAAGGTCCTGGGAGCCTGAAGGAGCCTGACGTGAGACGAGGGGTCCGCATGGCCAGAGGCCAGGAGTTCCCACCCTGGCTCTCTCACTGCCTGGTCGCTGTGCTGTGCCTGTTTGCCTCTCTATAAATGGGAAGTCATTTTTATAGTAATTCCTCGCTTGGGGCGTTGAGTTACTACCTGGGAAGGGCTCAGTGCAGCACTGGTTGTAAGTGCTGAGCCTAGAGAGGAGGTGTGAGTAGGACGGGGGGGGGGGGGGGGGGGGGGGGCGGGCGGGCACTGACTTGCATATTTGAAAGTTTACTTGGGTGTGCCCCACAACCCCAGCTTCTAAACACAGGACGTGATGTCCCAAAAAGGAATGGAGGAGGAGTGCTGAGTGGGAGTTGGGGGTTCATCTGACTTGTGTGTAGTTTTCTTTCTTTTTAAAAATGTTTTTATTGACATTTAGAGAGAGAAGAAGGGAGAGGGAGAGAGAAACATCGATCAGCTGCCTCTTGCACACCCCCTATCCGGGATCGAGCCCACAATCCAGGCATGTGCCCTGATGGGGAATCAAACCAGCAACCTGTCGGTGCCTGGATGACACCAACCAACTGAGCCACACCTACCAGGGCACTTGTGTGTAGTTTTCCATACTTTTAGAATATGTAGTGTGTAGCTGTACTACGTTAAGAATGGGAAAGCACATCTATCCCTCACTTCATTTTAATTAATTCCTGATAAGTGCAAAACGGCTGAATAAAAAATATAAATTTTCATAAACTTAATTGGGTAATATATGTATTCTGTCCTAATTCAAGGTATCCACATATTTTTCACTGGGGAAAATAAATCAACAAACACTGACAAACAACAATGGAAAAGAAACACTGCTTATACACATAATGTAATGTAGGGGGATGGTTTATTTATGCCCCTGAGCAGAGAGAAGGAGTGATGGTGGGGCAGGGTGGAGACAAGATCAGTAGCAGTGCTGTGCTGAGTCATACTAAAATTGGATGCAAAAAGAAAAGCCAGATTCTAACTGTTTAAAATATTATTTGGTTTATCATTCTTTTGCATTAATTTTGATTTTAAAAATTACAGTATTGTCTTGATTACTAAGATTATTGGTGCCCCATTACATTTTGTGTCTAGGTGAGTGCAAAGGTGCCTATTATGGTATCTATAATAATAAAAGCATAATAGGCTACTTAGACCTGACATCATTCTGGACGTCCTTCCAGACGACCTTCCGGACAAAGCCGGGGCTGCGAGGGAAGCCTGGGTCCTGGGTGCCAGAGGGAAGCCGGTGCCGGTGCCAGCAGCCTGGGGAAGGAAGGCCTACTCTTGCACGAATTTCGTGCATTGGCCTCTAGTTACAAATAAACAGGAAACAAGCAAATAGCCTCTGAGTTGTAATCATGGAAGGAAATTATGGAATAGATGTGGCTGCAAAGATGTCAGTGCAGCTTCTGTTTCCCCAAGGGAAACACGGGCTCGTTCAATCCACCTTGAGTGTGCCCCACAACCCTTTTGGCCCTGACCCAAATAGTTGTTACAGGAGGTAAGTCTACAATGAAAAAATAAAGCATTTTTCCCCCCACCCATTCTCTAATATCCTCTCCACCTGAAGGAAAAAACAAAGAATGAAATTTTGCATCATATCTTCTTTCCTCTGCCTGGAAAACTACATAGCCTTCACTGCCCCCTCTCACTGCAGCAGACTGAGAAACCCAAGGCAGGGTGAGGTTGCCACCTGGCCACTGGCATCGCAAAGTCAGGAGTGTTCTTGCTAGGACTTAGGGCAGCCTTAGTCCCCCGAGCAGACATTTGAAGGTATAACATTTTTCCACTTTGGGGAAAACTGTACCAGAGAACTCAGAGCCAGGTACTTCTGAAGGAAGAGGCCCTGGGGCCCACAAGCCTTAGGGAGTTACTGCCTGAAGAAGGTTTGAGATACATAACCCCTGGACACAGACAATAGGGTGGTGAAGGCCTGGGGTGGGGCTAGAAGAGGTCCATGGGGGGAGGGGGGGGGGAAGGACATAGGTAATACTTTCAGCAATAAATATTTTTTTTAAAAAAAGATACAAAGAGTTGCACAGTGGCACTACACCTGGGGCTTTGCCACCCACCCTCCTCCTCTGGGAGGCAGCAGGGTGCCTAAGTCTGGAGACTTGGGCTGGGACTCAGTGTATGGCTTTGAGCAAATCACTGAGTCCCTGAGAGCCTCAGTTTACTTAGTCTAAACGGGAACAACAGCACCAATTACGCAAAGCTGGTGTGAAAATTAAATGGGGACATTGTTCCTGGACAGGACCTGGGCCTTGAGCAGGTCTGCCTCCGGCCGCCCTATAGCTTGTGAGTTCTTGACTTAGTGCAGGAAAGATTTCCCAATGCAAATCCAGGTGATTTTGAGAGTGCATTTATTAAAGCTGGTGACAGGGAGTCAAAGCAAGGGCGTAGGACAGCAGAAGCAACAGGAGAGCGTGCAGGCGGGGCTGCTTTGGGTCTCTGGAAATGCTATAGGAGAGAAATGAGCTTTGGCTCATTGAGAAAAGTCACAGTGAAAAGTGAGCCAAGGTGGGGCTATGGTTAGCTCATTGGAAAGTCAGAGAAAAAGGGGGCCTTGGAGACAGGTTCAGGGGTAAGCCCAGGACGAGCTGCCACTGCTCAATCCTCCTCTGGTTACAAGTCTCATGGGGACCCTTAGAGTTTAGGAGATAACACACATAAGGGAGAAAGGAAGGCATGGGCGTGCTTTAGAGCAGCGGCTGCCAACCTTTTGGGCCTCGCAGACCCTCAAACTTGGTCACCAAACCTTGTTGGTTTTACCTCTTTAAGAGCTGTTTCCTCAGTATCCCCTTCTGTCCCTATTGCCACAGGCCCCTGCCTCACCAGCAACCCATTCTCACAGCCCTGTTGGCATCTCCCAGGCAGATTCTGAGCCTGGGTCCCCTCCTTGAAGGCCTTGGTGTGCACGCTTCGTTCCTGGGCATAGCCTGCTGGCTCTCCCTGGTTCTGAGCCCCTTTTCGGGGGCACTTGGCTTATTTCCC